AAAAAAGAGTTCAGACTTCAACCATAGGAAAACGAACGACTTAATTTTTAAACAGGGCCAGACCTGAGCGGACACCTCGCCAAGGACTGGAGCCCTTAAAAGCTGCTTCACGTCATCAGGAAGAGGCAAATGGGCGCGACGAGGCGGTCCACCCACCACGCGGGGGTCAGGGTGAGTCAGACCTACAAAACACCACTAGCCCCTCACGTCCCATGAGCCGTTGCGAGGGTCGTGCCCCCCACCGCGTGGCCTCTGGTCCCCCCGGAGGTTGTCACATATTTGTCTCCGTGCTGCGGGATGGATGCCTCGTGCCTCTGACCTTGTCTTTGCAGACCCCAGGCTCCCGTGACCCCGTGCCGACCCCGGCTGGGGCGCGGGGAACGCTGGGTTCCAGTCGCTTCAAAGTGAGGACGCCGCAGGCCGGCGGGCGGCAGTGGGTGACGGGGACGAGGCACCTGTGGGTCCGCCTTCTGCACAACCCTCAGATCTCAGGGCCGAATATCTCCCCTCTCTGCAACAGGCATCCGCAATGCCTTATCTCCGTTCTGTTCGCGTCCCGTTTGCACAACCCCCGGGCGGGCGTGCTGCGCACAGTGGGCGGTTTGCATCTGCAGTTGTGCGTCTGGGAACGCGCACACAGGTGGTGTCGATTTTCATCTTCTGCTGCAAAAAAAAAAAAAAAAAAAAAAAGCTGGTGCCCCGGACGGCGTTCCTTGCCTTCTGCATCTTTTTCTCCAAAGAGGAGGAGGAGCACATCGCGGCCCTGGGCTTCCTAACCCGCCAGAAGCCAGATTCTGCAAAAAAGTGACGAGCCCCCCCCTCTTTTTTTTGCTTTTTTTTTTTTGCTTTTTCCATCTTCAAGCTGCACCCCCCCCCCCCCCCCCGCACAGGTTCCTCTCCCGCCGGCCGCGTCGTCGTCTTGAGTCGCAGCTGCAGAGCCGGCCTCCGTCTGTGAGGCAGGAAGCCCGGTCTGTGGGGGACGCCTGCATGAAAGAAAGGTGAGGCGGCCCTTCTGGGTGAAAAAAAGAAAAAAAAAAAACTCAAGCCGGCCTTGGCGGGAGGAGGAGCTGCTGCCGGGAAACGGGAGGCTGCTGCGAGCGGGCGGCCGGGGTGAGAATCGAGCGCTGGGTGCCTTCGGGTCCAGCTTGGTGGAGATTTGCTTAACAGATGGGTGGCGAGAGAGAGAGGAGAGAAAGGAAGGTGTAGACGCTCGATTTCCTGACACCTGTTGTCTCCGTCTACACAGAGTCGCTCAATGGTCTTCTCTGGGTGAAGACGGGGTTGCCTGGCCGTGCACTGGTTTAACCATCACTGGGTTGAGTCCGCTGGTCCGGTCTCCAACAGCGCGTCGAGCAAAGCCACGAAGGACACAACCAGCCCAAGGAGCCTTGGAGAAGGAGCCAATGAGTGGCCGCCATGTTGCTCCCAGATGAACCCAAAGATGGGCTTCCTCCTGGTCCTCTTGTCTCAAGCCCCGGGACCCGGAGCCCTTAGGCGGGATACGATACGAGGAGGGCATCCCCGTGGAGAGGGTTCTCCCCAGGCCAGAGAGTCAGGGTGGAGGGGGCCACGGACGAGGATACTGGGGCCAGCTCGACGGGGCTCCCCAGGCCCAGACTGGGCCCATGAGCTCAGTGGGCGCTGGCTCCCAGGGGAGGTTCTGATGAGGGGCAGCAGGGATTTGGGGGTGTCTTGAGCATCCTCATCTGGGCGGGGCTCGCCGTGAGAACGCACACCTGGATGGGACCGTGGGGGCGCCTCAACACACCCCAAGGGGAAAAGATGCCGCTGAACCAATGGGAAGGTCGTAAAAGGCAAAGAAAAGCTGGGCCCAGACGGGGCCCTGTGATGGATGGCGATGGAAGTCCCCGCGTGGAACAGGATTGGGTCCCAAATGTGGGCTAGGGGCGGCTCGTTAGATGAAAGTACTGGGGCCGTGTGGATTGACCAAGTGGACGACGGGGCTGTGCTTTTCCAAGGGGCTTGCCTGTGATTACAGAGGGCGCTTAGGGTGAAAGGACACGCTGCATGCAACTCCCGATGGTTCAGAGAAGACGTGCTGTTGTGAGAGATTGTACATCTGATGGATGGATGGATAGATGGATGGATGGATGGATGGATGGATGGATGGATAGATGGATGGATGGATGGATGGATGGATGGATGGATGGATGGATGGATGGATAGATGGATGGGTGGATGGATGGATGGATGGATGGATGGATGGATAGATGGATAGATGGATAGATGGATGGATGGATAGATGATGTATATAGATAGATACATGATAGATAGATAGATAATGATTGATAGAATAATGAAAGATATAGAGATAGATAGATAGATGATAGATATAGATAGACGATAGTAGATGATAGATACACAGGCAGATAGACAGATAATATATACATGGATAAATAGATAAAGGATAGATAAAAAATTGATAGGTGATAGAGAGATGGATAGATGATAGGTAGATAGAATAGATAAAGAGATAGGATGGATAGGTAGACATATAGATGACACATAGATAGATAGATACATAGATAATTGATAGATAGGTAGATGATAGATACAGATAGGTAGAAGATAGATGGATAGATAGGAGATAGATAATAGATGGTAAATAGATAATTTGTAATAGGTGACAGATATAGACAGATGTTCGATAGACAGACATGTGCAATAGGGTATGTCTGAGGTAGGATACATGTGTGTTACATGTACGCATCCACATATATGCAATGGGATGTGTGTATGTGTTTGCAGTAGAACGCAGACACAACAGGGTGTGTGTGTCTATACACACACACATACAAATATACACAATAGGGTAGATTTTCAGTAGGACATATATATGTCGATATATGTATGCCATGGTACGTGCATATATACAGACGTATGTACGTATATAAATGTAAACTATATACATAAAGAAATTTATTTCAAATGATTGCCTCGCACAGTTGCGGGGCTGACGAGCTGCAATGTGCAGGGCAGGCCGCCAGTCTGGACCCTCGCGTGGGAGCGGACGCTGCGGGCTGGAGGCACAATTCCTTCTTTTTCCTGAAAAACCTCAGTGTTTGCTATTCAGACCTTCACCTGATGAGACGAGGCCCACCGCCGCACGCCACGTCATCTCTTTTCCTTCAAGGCAGCTGCTTGTGCACTTGAGTCACAACCATGAAACACCTTCACGGAACCACCCCCCCGACGTGTGTATGAATAGATAACTTGGGGGCCACGGCTGAGCCACGTGGACACACGGGCCACCACCCCAGGTGGAGTCAGGTACCAGCAATGTTGGTGGCACACTGCCCCCGTGTGGTCAAGGAGGGCAGCCAGCACTACCCAAGACAGCACTTGGTGGCGGGGGGGGGGGGCGCCAACTTCCCGTTGCCCGAATGAGGAATCGGGGCTCAGAGCGGCCCCAGGGAAACCATGCTGCATCTGCAAACACAGTCGCCGCCGGCAGGATTCATCACCCGGCAACTTTGTGACCTTGTAACCTCATCGCGCTCCCTGCTTCCTCACGGCCCCAAAGTTGAAGCCACTGCGCCGGCGCTCGCAGCGAGCTTCCAAGTAGCAGGAAGAAAGGTTATTAGGATGTTTCTGGGGAAAGGCCAGCTGTGCGCCGACCCGGGGCCCCATTGGCTCAGCTGCGGCCCAGGCCCAGGGTGCGGCCCCGTTTCTGGGCGGTTGAGCAGCGGCCGGTCCTTATCCGTCCTTTGCGTGTGCGGAACGAGCGTGCGTCGGGTCCCTGTCGGGTGGCCCCTCTGACCGCTGTGCCCGTTGCCTCGCAGGTCGGCCCCCGAGCCCTCCGCCATGATGGACATGAACCTGACGCGGCCGGACAACGCCACCCTCCTGATGCTCCAGGACCCCACGATCGCGGTGGCCCTGCCGGTGGTGTACTCGCTGGTGGCGCTGGTCAGCATCCCGGGCAACCTGTTCTCCCTGTGGGTCCTGTGTCGCCACATCGGACCCCAGTCGCCGTCGGTCATCTTCATGATCAACTTGAGCGTGACGGACCTGACGCTGGCCAGCGTGCTGCCGTTCCAGATCTACTACCACTGCAACGGCCACCACTGGGTGTTCGGCGAGCTGCTGTGCAACGCGGTGACGGTGGCCTTCTACGCCAACATGTACTCCTCCATCCTCACCATGACCTGCATCAGCGTGGACCGCTTCCTGGGCGTCGTGTACCCGCTGGCCTCGGCCCGCTGGCGCCGGCGCCGTTACGCCGTGGCGGCCTGCGTGGCCATGTGGCTGCTCCTGCTGGCCGCCCTGTCCCCGCTGGCCCGCACCGACCTCACCTACGCGGTGGAGGCGCTGGGCATTGTCACGTGCTTCGACGTGCTCAAGTCCACCATGCTGCCCAGCGTGGCCATGTGGGCCATCTTCCTGTTCACGCTGTTCATCGTGCTGTTCCTGATCCCCTTCGTGGTCACCGTGGCGTGTTACACCGCCACCATCCTCAAGCTGCTGCGCACCCCGGACCCCCACGGCCGCGGCCAGAGGCGCCGCGCCGTGTGCCTGGCGGCCGTGGTCCTCCTGGCCTTCGTCACCTGCTTCGCGCCCAACAACTTCGTGCTGCTGGTCCACATGGTCAGCCGACTCTTCTTCGGACGCAGTTACTACCACGTCTACAAGCTCACCCTGTGCCTCAGTTGCCTCAACAACTGCCTGGACCCCTTCGTCTACTACTTTGCCTCCCGCGAGTTCCAGCTGCGTCTCCGCGACTATCTGGGCTACGGCCGGCTGCCGACCGACGGCACCGAAGCCCGCCGGGACAGCCTCTTCTCCGCCCGGACGCTGTCGGCGCGCTCCACGGCCAGCGGTCACGCCGACGGGCCCGAGGGGGCGGGCCGGCCCTGCCTCAAGAGGCAGGAGAGCTTGCTCTGAGCCCGCCGTCCCCGTCTGCTCCCTGCGCCTGGTGCAAGCCGGACCTGATGTCCATCTCTTTGTTTTTTCACTCCGGGCGCTGGGAGGCAGCCAGACGGCCGTGGACACGCTCCGGATGGGGGGCTCAGGTCACCCGGTCGCCCCAGTCGGGGTGCAAGTTCGCCTTTAAATGTCGCAACTGGAGACCGCCAGACGGGACGGCTGCCTGGGAGGTGCGAGTCAGACCCCTGCCGTGTGGACGAGAGGCTGCAGAAGCCGAGTTGGGCAAAGGATGATGAGTGTCTGCAGCCACCGTGGGCTCCCCGAGACGCCCTGGGGTGCCGGAGGGGGGTTCCCTCCAGCCCGTTCTCTGTGTCCCGGGATCCCGTGGGGACCAGGCGCCCCGCGACAGCACTGGCCCCAATTCCTCGCTGCTTCAGGACGACGAGGGGCCCCCGTCTCTGGAGGGTCCAGGAGGCCCGAACAGCGGGTCCCAGGAACCAGGCGTCCGCCCGGAACAGCAAAGTTTCTGGCGGTTTGCACGTCCCGAGGGGATGCACGGGGTTGGGTCCAGGGCCCCTTGGCAAGAGGACGGCCCCGGAGGCTGCAAGGCCAGAACCAGGGCGGGGCCAGCAGGCCGGGACCTCGGGGACCCCCAGCATCCCCCCCAACGGGATCCTGGAGCCCCGGACGCTGGAAGAGGCAGGAGGGACCCCCACCCCGGAGCCTCTGGAGGGAGCGCGGCCCTGTGACCCTTGACCCCAGACTCCGGGCCCCAGGACGGGGGAGGATGGATGCCCGTTAAATGAAGGCCCCCAGTTTGTGGGAATATCAGCTGCCCCGGGACCCTTGCACGCACATTGCAGGCATGCCGAAATTCCGTGGCCGTGACGGTGGCAGATATCAAAGGCCGGCCCTGGGTGGGCTCCCGGGTCCTCAGAGCTGACGGGGACAGTGCAGAACGATGGCCGGCCGGGGAGGGGTAGGGGACCCCCAAAAAGGCTGGCGTGGGTGACCCCGGATTTTGCACTGGAGGGTGTGACTCCCTCCGTCCGCTCTTCCCGGCCGTCCCGGAGCGGAACCCTAGAAAGCGCTGTGTCGAGTCAGCGACGTCCACGGCGGGAAATCCTGAGGCCGCCAGAAGCCGGCGCCACCCCCCCACCCCACCCCACCCCGAGTCTGGGCGTGAGCCTCCTGCGTCTGATGCAGCGAAGCTGTGAAAAACCTCAAACCGCCCGCACAGAACCCCTTCCTCCGGCTCTGCGGAGAGGCCTCGCCCCTTGAGTGCCGGCTGTCTACGTGACATCCTCCTCCCCGGGGCTGTCAGATCCTCCAGCCCTCGGGGGGGGACGGGTTTCCATCCAGACGTTGTTGCCCCCTGTGGCCACAGTCAGCCCACCCCCTAGGGGACGGTCCTCGAAGCAGAGAGGCCAGGCCCGGCCTCGCTCTGGTGTCGGCATTCGATGACCTTGTGTGTCTGTGTTTCCCCCAGAAACCGAATCCGTTCTGCTGTTAACAGCAGGAACACGCTTGTATTTACAGACACGGAAAGAAAAAGGGTGATCCGTGCTGCAGCTCTCGGGAGGATGTGGAGAGTGGGGGGCGCCCTCGGAGAACAAGGACCCTCGGGGACGTTCCTCATTGTCCCCAGGCCGCAGGGCGAGCGGGTTTCTCCCTCTGACTTCTGACCCCTGCCTGCCAAACACGTGTTGGAACCGGCACGTGATCCTCCCGCGGGGCCCCTGGATCTTCGGGGACAACACCCTCAGTCGATGGCAGAGTCAGGTCACTTCCGAGGACATGGCGTGCAGCGAGCGGGGCAGGGGCACACGCGTGTGGGGTATGCGGTGACCTCAAGGATTTGATGGGTGGGAACACGGGGCCGGTGGCTTTGTTGAAAAGAAAGACTAACCTGTTAAAGGTGTGCATGCAGACAGTCACGGTACAATGGTATGCTGTTGGATGTTTGCTGTGCAACACGACAGCGAGGACGTGCATACATGCACGCATCCACACACACATGCATACACCTGTGCACACATGCATATGCACACCTGTGAGCGCACACATGTACACGTCTGCACACAGGCATCACTCGTGCACATGCATGTATGTGCACGCACATACAAACACACACCTGCATCCATACGAATGTGCACATATGTGCATGCATGCATATCGCATACCTGCATCCATATGCACACGCACACACATTGCACACACGTGCATATATGCACACGCACCCTTGCATGCACATACACATGCATGCACACATGTATACACACATGCATACATAGGCACACATACCCGCATCACTCATGCACATGTATATATGCACGCACATGTGCACACACGTGCATCACACCCAAGCCACACATGTATGCACATGCACATATACACACGCATCCATATGAACACATCACACATATTGAATGTATGCGCACATATGCACACATACATGTGCATATGCATGCATGCCTGCACATGTGCTCATACACGTGCGTGCATACATTGCGTGCACACGCACACACGCATACATATATACCTACCTACACACGTGTACACACACGTGCGTGTGCGTGCATGCACGTTCGGGAGGGCTGGGTGAAAGAAACAGGGCAGAACGCTGACCCTTGGTAACGGCTGAAACCTGGCGAAGGAGACGGGTTACGTGACATCATTCTCTTGACTTTGAGCTTCTTTGCAAACATAATTTTGAAAAACGTGGTGTTCTGGAAAATGTCGCACGAGGACACTTGATTCTGCGAGCTGTGTCCTCGCAGGCTGGGCTCCGTCTCCCTTCGGAAACGCAGAGGACGGAAGGAACCCCTGCTCTCAGCCCAGCTCTTCTTTCTTCTCCCTCTCCTTCCAATTTTGTTTTTTTTATTATTATCGCGGCAAAATACACACAGCATAATCAACCGCCTATTTTTTTTTTTTAAATAAATGATCGGCTCGTGCGTAGAACTCAGTAGGAGTCTTGGGCTCGCTCCCACCCCATCGGACGCTTTTGGAGAATTTACGCTAAAACCTCAGGGGGATGGCTCCTCCCAGGGGTCCATCCTCCCATAAATGTTTTCTACGTCTGCCTTTGAAATACCTCCTCCGTTTTCTTCATCCCGAGAATATTTAAGGGACACCCTGGGGGCAGCAGAGAAAGGTGCTCTCAAGCACGGTTGGCGAGAGGGTTTGGATCCCGGGTGCAGACATGGCCCCACTTGGCAAAGCCATGCTGTGGTGGGCGTCCCACATATAAAGTAGAGGAAGATGGGCACGGATGTGAGCTCAGGGCCAGTCTTCCCCAGCAAAAAAAAAAAAAAAAAAAAGAGGAGGATTGGCAGCACATGTTAGCTCAGGGCCAGTCTTCCTCAGCAAAAAAAAAAAAGAGGAGGATTGGCAGCACACGTTAGCTCAGGGCCAGTCTTCCTCAGCAAAAAGAGGAGGATTGGCAGTAGTTAGCTCAGGGCTAATCTTCCTCAAAAAAAAAAAAAAAAAGGTGTGTGGGGCTGGATGGACATGGACGGGGATGGTGGAGGAGGGACTCAGGGTACCTGCGTCCTGCCCTCCCACCTCACAGCCCCTGTGGGGACGGCAGCAGGGATGCACAAAGGGGTCCTTTGAGATCTGCTCCCAGGCTGATGGCTCAGGGGCTGGGGGGCCTCGGGGAACTGGGCCCTGGGCCCACGGCCGCGACCTCAGCCCCGGCTCCATGAGGGAACCCGCGAGAACATCGCTGACCTCTGGGTCCCACATGTGCATCACCGCCCCGTCAGCAGGAATCAAGACCTGATTTGTGGGACTATCCGAGGCTTTGTGGGGGTCTCCCAGCACAAAAGGTTAAGACAAAAAAGGGGGAGATAACAGTGCTGTCAAAACACATAATAGGATGCCACACGGATGTAGATACACATATATACCATACATGTACACATACATAGATACATGTTTATATTCACATATGTGTGTTAGTCTGGGGACATTTCTGGTTGTCACAACTGGACAGGGTGCTCCTGACATATGTGGGTGGAGACCAGAGACGCTGCTCCACACCCTACAGCGCACAGCACAGGGACGGCCCAGCACAGAGAGTGGTCCAGCCTCAATGTCAGTAGTGATGAGGCTGAGAAATATTAATCTAGCGTAAGAGATGAATATCTATGTATCAATAATATCTATCTACCTATCATCTATCTACCTCTCATCTACCTATCCATCTGTATATCTCTAAATCTATCTGTCTAGCTATCTATCTACCTAGCATCTATCTAGCTATTTATACATCTGGATATCTATCTATTGTCTATCAATCTACCTATCATTTATCCATCATCTATCTATTATCTATAATCCAACTATCTATCATCTATCTATTCATCTATCGTCTATCAATCTACCTATCATTTATTTATCATCTGTCTATCATCCAACTATCTATCATCTATCTATGTATCTATCTATCTATCCATCGATTCATCTATCCATCGATCCACCTATCCATCCATCCATCCATCCATCCATCCATCTATCCATCCACCTATCCATCCATCTATCCATATATCCATCCATCTATCCATCCATCGATCCACCTATCCATCCATCCATCCATCCATCCATCCATCTATCCATCCACCTATCCATCCATCTATCCATCTATCCATCCATCCAGGTATCTATCTATCTATCTATCATCTATCTATCTATCTATCTATCTATCCATCTATCCATCCATCCAGGTATCTATCTATCTATCTATCATCTATCTATCTATCTATCCATCCATCCATCCATCCAGGTATCTATCTATCTATCTATCATCTATCTATCTATCTATCCATCCATCCATCCATCTATCCATCCATCCATCCATCCATCCATCCATCTATCCATCCATCCATCCATCCATCCATCCATCCATCTATCCATCCAGCCATCCAACTATCTATCCATCTATCTATCCATCCATCCATCTATCCATCCATCCATCCATCCATCTATCCATCCATCCATCCAGCCAGCCAGCCAGCCATCTATCCATCCATCCATGTATCTACCTATCTATCTATCTATCTATCTATCTATCTATCTATCTATCTATCATCTATCTATCATCTACCTATCATATATCTATCCTCTATCACTGTACTTCTCAACCAAGGGGCATTCCGTCCCCAGGGGACCCGGCTGCGTCTAGAGACGGAGTCACCCTTGGAGGAAAGGTAGTGACCGCCACCTAGTGGACAGAAATTAGAAATGCGGCTAAGTGTCCCGCAGGGCGCAGGGCAGCCCCCGCCAGAACGAGTGACCCCGCCCCAAGGGTCACGAGCGCCCAGGCTGGGAAGCCCCGCCTGAGCATGAGAGATTCCGTCTGTCTACTGTTTATCTACCCACCCGTCTCCCCCTCGCAATCTCCGCTGCCCATCGGGCCCACGGGGAGCCCATCTCCCAGCCCCCAACCACGCCCCCAACCACGAACCAGGTGACCTTCCATCTCCATGACCCCTACCGCGCCCGCGGGGACTGCCCCCCTATTCCGCCCAACCGCGGCTCCGGGGACGCCCCCACATCTCCGTCCCCCTACAGCGCCCGCGGGGACCCCCATTTCACCCCACCGCGCTAGCGGGGACCCCCATCTGCACCCTCACCGCGCCCGCGAGGACGCCCATCTCCGCTCCCCTACACCATCCCCCGCCACCTCCATTTCCCCCAAAACCGCGCCCGCAGGGACCCCTGGATCTCCGCCCCCTCCGCGCCCACCGGGACCCCCATCTATGCTCCCCTAAAGCACTCGCGGTCACCCCATCTACGCTCCCCTACAGCACCCACGGGGACCCTGATTTCCCCCCGGCTCCGCGGGGGCCCCCCATGTCCCCCTCCCCCGACTGCGCCGGCGCGGACCCCCATCTCAGCCCTCCTATTGCGCTCGTGGGGACCACTATCTCCGCCCCCACCGCCCCCTCGGGGAACCCCCAATTTCCCTCCACTGCGCCCGCGGGGACCCCCTCTCCCCACCAACTGCGCCCCTACCGCGCCCGAGGGGAGCCCCATCTCCGTCCCACCACCGCGCCCGTGGGGAGCCCCACCCCCGCCCCCTATCGCATCCGCAGGGACCTACATCTCCGCCCCCTACGGCGCCCGTGGGGACCGCCCACCTCCGCCCAGATACCGCGCACGTGGGGACCCCCGTCTCCCGCCCATCCGCACCCGCGAGGACCCCCATGCTCCCCCCGCTTTTCTCCTGCACTCGGAGCTCCCGCAGGAGCCGGGGACATCCGGGTGCTGGGGGCCACCCCCCGCCCACATCCCCGCCCGCATCCCCCACTCGGGCCCAGTTCAGTCCCCGCAGGCCCCGCGCGGGGGGCGGAGCGTCGGCCAGGACCCTTGTACCCGGGGCGGGGCCTGCGCGGGGGCGGGGCCTGGGCGGGACGGGGGCGGGGCGAGGCCTCGAGGGGGCGGGGCTACACGCGGGGCGGGGCCTGGGGCCGCATGCAGGACGCTGGCTGGGGCGGGGCCTCGCGCGGGGAGGGGCGGGGCCTGGAGCCGCGCAGGGCGGGGTTTCGTTCGGGGCAGGGATGGGCGGGGCCTCGCTGTGGAGGGGCGGGGCATGGGCGGGGCCTGGCGCTGCGCAGGCGCACTCGGCGGGGCCGGAGCGGAGCGCGGGCCGGCGGCGCCATGGTGCTGTGCCCGGTGATCCGGAAGCTGCTGCACAAGCGCGTGGTGCTGGCCAGCGCCTCCCCGCGCCGCCAGGAGATCCTCCGCCAGGCGGTGAGCATGCAGGGGGACGCGCCGGGGCCCCGAGCTGCGGCCACGGCCTAGAGAAGGGGAGGCCCTAGTGTCCGGAGGCCTAGTGACCCGGGGGCCCTAGTGACCAGGGTCTGCAGGGCCGAGCGTCCAGGGGGCATAGAGTCCAAGGAGCCGAGGGATCAGGGTCTGCAGGGCCTAGAGTCCAGGGGGCATAGAGTCCAAGGAGCCGAGGGATCAGGGTCTGCAGGGCCTAGAGTCCAGGGGGCCTAGTGTCCAGGGGGCCTATTGACCAGGGACCCTAGCGTCCAGGGGGCATTGTGACAGGGGGACTAGTGACTGGGGGCTGAGCGTGCAGGAGGCATAGTGACTGGGGGCCCTAGTGTCCCTTGGGCTTCATGACCGGGGTGCCTAGTGGCCAGGGGGCCTAACATCCAAGGGACCTAGTGAGTGGGGTCATAGTGTCCAGGGGGCCTAGTGTCCAGGGGCATTGTGACTCAGGGAGTACTGAGCGGGGGCCTAGTGACTCAGGGCTGAGTGCCCATGACCCGGGCACCAGGGGGCCCAGGGACCATGGGCCCAGTGACCAGGCCCCGTCTGGGGGCGCGGGCCTTGTGAGGGGCGGAAGACCGTAGTGAGCTGGGTCTGGGACGGTGGGCCGGGGAAGGAGGAGCTGTGTGATGTGGGGTCAGGGCCTAGTGACCTGGTCACCTGTGGGCCAGGGTGTGCACGGCTGCGAGGCCCCGGCCCGGGCTCTGCTGAGCGGGTCCGTCCTGGAGCTGCTGGTGGGGCGACAGCGGCAGAGTGGACGAGACTTTGCATGGTGGGGGACGCCCTCTGGGGGACCGGGGTGCTGGAGATGTGAGGAGGGAGGGGGCCCCGGAGGCCCTGCCTGGGGTGGGGGCAAGGGGCGCTGTGGGGGTTCTTACAGTGAAGGGGCTGTGTGGGGGCCGTGTCATATGGTGGGGCTGTGTTATATGGTGGGGGCTGTGTTATATGGTGTGGCTGTGTCATATGGTGGGGCTGTGTCATATGGTGGGGCTGTGTTATATGGTGGGGGCCGTGTTATATGGTGGGGCCTGTGCCGTATGGTGGGGGCTGTGTTATAGGGTGTGGCTGTGTCATATGGTGTGGCTGTGTTATATGGTGGGGCTGTGCTGTATGGTGGGGCTGTGCTGTCTGGGCGTCCATGCTGTGTGTGGGTTGTGTGGTGGGGGTCAGGTGGGCATCAGAAGGGTGGAGGCGGGTCTGGGTGCAGAGTGCGGGGTGCCGTCTGCACCTCCATGGGGACCACTGCGGGGCCAGAACTGAAGGCAGCTCTCAGGCAGGCCCGGGGCCAGGTGGGGTGCAGGGGGTCCGTGACACAGGGGTGCTCCTTGTAGAGGAGGGGGAGGGACGCTACGAGTCAGATGGGGCTGCCCGTCCGGATGGAGAGCTGTCCCTCCATGCACAGGCCCACCTGCCTGTCCCCACCCCACTCGGAGGTGTCACCGTCTCCACGGCCGGCCTCCCACAGGGCTGTCCTACCTGCTCATGCTGCTAGGGGCCAAGTGAAACACGTGCCCCCCGCCCCTGCACCCCGTCGGTGTGGCATTTTGGTTCCATTTCATGTGGGTGGTGCCTTTTCAGTTGTTCAGGGAAGCATCGCTGGGCTCTGGGCCACCCTGGGAGCCCCTCGACCCCAGCACCCCAGTCAGCACCGCCCTGCTGGCCTCAATGTGGCTGCCGCGCCTCCCAGTGTCTTCCCGCCGGGTCCTGGGCCGGGCCTGGGGGAACGTCCAGGGACTGGATGAGCCGGCCGGGAAGCGGGAACGCGTTCCCGTAAACCTTGCACATTCTGTTCCGCGTCGTCCAATTCTCCCGGTAAACCCCCAACCCTCCCTTTTCTCCCGTTCCAGGGTCTCAGGTTCGAGGTGGTCCCTTCCCGGTTCAAAGAGATGCTCCCCAAGGCCTTGTTCCCCAGCCCTCCCGCGTACGCCGTCGAGACGGCCAAGCAGAAGGCCCTGGAAGTGGCCCGCCGGATGCACCAGGCAAGGCCCCCCGCCCCTCGGCTCCCCGCAGCCTCGCTCGCTCCCTCGCTCGCAGGTTTTAAACATCCGTGTCCTAAAGAAACGCGGTTTTAACAATAGGCTGTTCCCGTAGCTTATCCACCGCCGGGCGTCACTGTGGGTCATTTGCGTCACAGAGCGTGTCCGTCACTTTGTCACTATTTACGTCCTAAACTGGTCCAGTTAACGCAACAGTATCACGTACAGTAAAGAACTAACACAGCTCACTTATCACTACGTAATATCCGCTTGGCAATTAACGTACCAGCGTCCTTGACGTTCTAGAATGAACGTAGCTTAGCGCCAGGTGTCACTATGTAATCCGCTGTAGTAATTTATATAATGGTGTCATTTAGGATATCGAACGAAGGCAGCTTGTCTATCGCTCCGTGTGACACCATCTCATATACTCGTAATTAATATAACAGTCTCATTTACGATAGAGAATTAGCTTATTTATTAGCTTTATTTATTAGCTTAGAGAATTAGCTTATTTATTAGCTTTATTTATTAGCTTAGAGAATTAGCTTATTTATTAGCTTTATTTATTAGCCACATAATTAGCTTATAATTCATCCAACAGTGTCATTTATTATAAAATTATATAAAATTAGTATAAAAATTGTATAAAATGAATGTCCGATCGATTACTATTTCTTATCACTATTACTCTATTACTCATCTGTGACTATTAGATACTCTTGTGTGTTACTATCTATCCCTACATGTTGCAATAATGACTGACAGCAGCCTGTCGGGGAGCCACACCGCCCCCCTGCCCGTCCTCGCCCGGGGGCACTGAAGGACGCCCAGATCTCGCTCCCCGGAGGGACACCGGCTTCGTGCCGAACGACGCTGTTCCGCGCCCTTTGCAGCAGGGAGACGTTTGCGTCAACGCCGTTTCTGACCCAAATCTGGGTTTCTTGCAGAAGGACCTGCGGGCGCCCGACGTTGTCATCGGAGCAGACACCATCGTGGTGAGTCTGGCTCCCGGCCCCCGGTTTCCCGACTCCAGGAAGACCTCACCTTAAATTGGATCACATCTGCAAACACCCTATTGCCTCATCACGTCCCGTTCGCAGGGCCAGGGGGTGAGGGCCCGGGCCTATCGTTTGGGGGGGACACAGTGCTGCCCGACACCAGGATGTTGTCCACCGAGCCTTGGGGTCGGTGACGGGAGGTCCTGCGCATCGGTCCTCACGGCCGCTCTGCCACACACGCGACGGCCCTCCGTCCGAGCCCACGCCTGGCCTGACGGTGACCTGAACCTGGGGACGTTGGGCCGCAATGTCAGCGGGCCGCCAACAGTCTCCAGACGGAGGGGCCGTGCATGTGAACACTGAAACAGCCCGGGGTCGGGAAACGCTGGATGGGGCCGTCCCGGGTCCGCCTTGCCCCAACGTGCCGTCTGTTCCCGGGCAGCCCGGGTCGATGGGACCTACGTGCGGGCGGGCGGGCGTCTCTGGTTCTGGTTCAGGGCGTGTGTACGTGGAAGTGAAAAAGTGAGCAATGCAGGTTCCTCAAACGGCTAAGCATAGGATTACCCTGTGAGTCAGCAGAATGAGCCGTGAGCTGAGCCGTGGACCCCAAACTCACACGTTGGGGTCCTGACCCCCAGGACCTCAGGATGGGGCTGTGTGTGGAGACGGGTCTTTAAGGAGGGGATGGAGGTCAAATGAGGTCATGAGGGCGGGTCCTGATGGGAAGAGATGAGACACGCACAGAGGGACGACCACGTGAGGACACGGGAGAAGACGGCGTCTACACAGCAAGGAGAGAGGCCTCAGGAGGAGCCAGCCCTGCCCGCATCTGGATCTCGGACGTCCAGCCTCCAGAACGGGGAGACCGTCAATGTCTGTTGTTTAAGCTGCCCCATCTGAGGTCCTTTGTTAGGGCAGCCCTGCTTCATACTATTAGGAATATACTCAAAGGAATTGAAAATAGGGTTCAAACAACATCTGTACACCCGCGTTCCCAGCACTTTTCACGATAGCAGGAAGGTGCAAACAGCCCAAGTGTCCACCAATGGATGGATGGATACATAGACAGAATGTGGTCCATCCGTATGGTGGAATATTACGCAGCCCTGAACAGGAGTGAAGCCCTGAGACAGCTACGACGTGGAGGGACCTTGAACACAGGATGCTCAGGGAGAGGAGCCAGACACAAAAGGTCCCATAGTGTGTGATCCCATCGATAGGAAATGTCCAGAACAGGCCAATCCACAGACACAGAAAGTGGATTAGCCATTGTCAGGGGGGATTTGAGGGGGGAAAATTGCTCCGTGGGTCCCGAGTGCTCCAGGATGAGGAAGAAGCTTCTGGAAGCAGATAGAAGTGGTGGTCGCATGATGTCCAGAATGCACAAAATGCCACACAACCGTTTACTGTAAAACGGTGAATTTTATGTTCTGTTCATCTCACATCAAATTTTTAAAAAAAATAACCAGGGATCTAGAAAGCGGACGGGGCTGCTCTCACGCTCCCGGCTTGGGGCATGGGAATGACCCCCTCTCTCCGGACTCTCTCACAGGCGGTGGGGGGGCTCATCCTGGAGAAGCCGGTGGACAAGCAGGACGCCTACAGCATGCTGTCCAGGTGGGTGCCCACCCATCGGCCTCCTGGGAACCGGCCCCCCCGTCAGACAGAGCCACGGGGCGGGGTGGACGGCCGCAGCCTGGCCCGGGGGAGGTCGGAGGTCGGCCAGCGCCCTCAGACGTGAGCCGTGTTCATTCCCCCCTCCCACGGGGCTCACCCTGGGGCCGGGTGGCCATGATCCCGCACCTCCCTCCCTCCCCATCCTTCTCGGCTCCCCGTGTCCATCTGACTGGCTCTCCCCGGGCGCCTCAGCATCTGAGCTTCTGCTCCGGCCGCAGGGGGTCGGACACCGTCCCCCTCTGCCCATCCTGGACCACTGACCCCGGGGCGGGCCACCCCCATCACCTATTGTCGTGGTCTCCGCACCTCCACCGTGGGCTGCCATCTCCCCCTGGCCCGGGACAGCAAATGGGCCTGAGGAACAGCCGGCTCACAGCTGCCCGGGTCTGGGTCTGGGTCTGGGTCCTCCCACGCAGCCGGCCACCCCATGTGGATCCGTGTGCTCCCCAACGTCCGGGACCTTGGATCCCATAAAAGACCGCCCTGTGCTCCCTCCCACTCTGAGAGCGGGGACCACGCTCGCATCCACCTGTGCCGGTCGCTCTAAAGGTTCATTGCGGACGCGGTGGCCCGGATGATGTGGGAGAGGCCGGACAGGGAGCGGGGGTCGGGAGTCCCATGGGGCAATGCTGCGTGGACCCGGGGACCAGGGTCAGAGCCCGGCTCCCGCCCCAGACTCGCGGACCCGGGGACCGGGGTCAGAGCCCGGCTCCCACCCCAGACTCGCGGACCCCCGGACTCGCGGACCCGGGGACCCGCGTCAGAGCCCGGCTCCCGCCCCAGACTCGCGGACCCCCGGACTCGCGGACCCGGGGACCCGCGTCAGAGCCCTGCTCCCGCCCCAGACGCGCGGATTCGGGGACCCGGGTCAGTGCCCGGCTCCCGCCCGAGACTCGCGGACCCGGGGACCCGCGTCAGAGCCTGGCTCGCGCCCCAGACGCGTGTCGCTCCGTGTCTTGCAGGTTGAGCGGAAAAGAGCACAGCGTGTTCACGGGCGTCGCCATCGTCCACTGCTGCAGCCGAGGTACCGTGGCCGGTCCACCTCCTCCCGGGGTCGGGGTCCCCTGGGGGAGGCGCGGCGGGCGCTGTCGGTGCCCTGGGCGCGCGGAGGGAGCCCTTTTACCCCCGTGCTGCCCAGGAAAGCGGGGGGTCCCCGCATGGGCACGGGGTTCCCCTCTGCGCCGCCGAGGGAGGCGGGGCCGGGGGCGGTGTCTGTCCTAAAACCCGCCCAGCACCCGCAGGACGTTCCCTTTGAGACCCTGCGGTCCGGACGGCGGAGGAGGAGGCGGGCGCAGGGCGTCGTGCGTGCGTAAATGACGCCCCGACGAAAAAGTTCTTAAAAAACGCACAAAAACCCCCGAAGAGCAATTTTAAAGGCTGGTTTGAGGTCGGCGCAAGGACCCTGAGGCAGCGTTTGAGCTCCTGGCCCCGGGGCTGCCTGATAGCATCCCACTGAGGGGGGGGGGGGGGGCGCCCCGAGGCAGTGGGTCAGCGGCCGGTGCACCTTGACCTCTGAGCCTTCAGTCTGGGGCCTTTCGGAGGGAAAGCACTCACCGGACAGACAGATTCTGCCAGACTTTCAACTCGCCTTTCTGTTTCATGTCTGTCCTGCGTCCTCACCCTCAGGCTTCTGTCCTTCCAGACGGCCGTCTGGACACCGACGTGTCGGAATTCTACGAGGAGACGAGGGTGCGGTTCTCGGAGCTGTCGGAGGACCTGCTGTGGGAGTACATCGACAGCGGGGAGCCCATGTGAGTCCTTCTCGGGAGGCGCCCTCCTGCGCCCTGCCCGCACGTGACCCCGGGGAGGTCACTCCTGGGTTTAGGGCCTGAGGTCCCGACGGTGTGCCCGATCGGTGCCCCGGCAGCCCTGTGGGTAAGGATGCTTCTCAGGAGGTGATCATAAACCGCTTCAGGCCCACCCCGGGCCCCACACCCGCTGCTGTGACGATGGGATGTCTGGGGAGCTGGGGTGGCCTCCGGGGGCAACTCCGCTCGGCCAGCACCCCTCTCTCTCTCTGGAAAGCAGAGGCCACCCTGAACCCGGTGGAGCGCCAGCCGCCCCAAAGCGTGTCGGCCCCAGACATCAGTGATCCTCGAGCTCGGGTCGCGAGGTCAGCGGCCAGTGGCTTTTGGCCTCGCTCCCGTGTCTGATGGTGGCTTGGGGGTCTGGCCTCGTGTGTTTCCTCTTGAAGTGGCTTGCTCGGGGTCCCCCCGTGGAGCCGGGGGCCAACAGTGGGTAGGCGAGTGTAGACGCCCCCCCGGGGCTGCTGAGGCCGAGGGTGGGAGCCTGCCTTCTCCTGGTTAAAGCCGGTCTCAGGCCAGCTCAGGGGGAAGTCAAGGGAGGAGGCCCCCTCGTTCCCAGGTTGGGGTGCACATGAGTGTTTTGGGGGACCCTAGGGACCCGGTGAGCTCCAGGCAGCTGGGCTGGGTGCACGAGCCGTGGCCTGTCCCACCCCAGCCAGGGGACACGCTTCGTGGGTGCACCGCTGGCCCTTGGGCGCCACCTCCGGAGGCGTCGGGCCCCGAGTCACGCCGCCCCCGCTTTGCATGTTCCTCCGCGCGGGTCGGGTCGGGTCGGGTGGGGGGCCCCGCTGGCTCTGCACAGAGGCCGGCCCCGAGCTGCTGTCCGTCTGAGAGGACACGGACCACAGGGAGGCCCCCGGGGGTCCCCGCAGCTCCACACTCTGCAGCGGAGACGGGGCGGGAGGGAGATCGGGGGCGTCCCCAGGGCGAAGCGGGCGGGGTGGGCCTGCAGGACTGGGTGCGGGTGGAAGGGAGGGGCGACGCCCCAGAGTTCCCCGGATGTCCGCCTGGGCGCGGGAGCACGGGGCCGCCCACCCCCGTCAGGAAGGGGCGCGGAGGAGAATGGGGGGCGGGAGGAAGGGGGTCCCGTCTCCGAGTCTTGGGCTGCGCAGCTCGTGCGTCAAGGTGGGCGGTGACCCCAGGCCGGCTGAGGGGTCCCGTGTGCGCCCTGGACCCCCCCACCCCCGGGTCTCAGCATCTCCCGTGTCCGGGATGCCTCGCGGGAGCCCGAGGTCGGGGGTGTCTCAGTTGCTGGGGCCCCCCTAAGAGAGCACCACAGACTGGGGGTCACCCCACTGCCGAGGGGGCCCCCTAACTAAAGGCTCCTGCCGTTTTAGGGACCTGGGTTTGGGGAAGTGTGTGGGGGGGGTCTCGAATAGAAAGGTGCTGGGTGCTCAGTCGCTGGAGGGGGGTCTTCAAGGACCCCTCTTACCCCCGTGGAAGGAGGTGTCAGCAGGGCGCGCCCGAGGACCCCCATAAAGAGGCCTCCGAATGGGGCGCCTGGAATGCAGGTGCGGGGAACAGCATGGCGGGGGGGGCCCGGGGCCTTGACTGCCGCCCCCAGAGACTGTGGTCCCTGGGCCGCGCACCGGGCCTGGGGTGCAGGGCGGCTCCCCCCGGGGCCTAGAGGGCCACCCGTGCGATGGCCCGGGGCCGGGTCTGAAGGATCGGGTCCGACTTGAGCCCGGAGTCTCACTCCTCTGGGCTGCGGATCGCGGGGTCCCCTCCACTCGTCACGGACTCTTGAATGACGTGCCGAACGTTGACGTGTCCCCTGACCTTTGGCCGTGTCCCCTCCCCGCCCCTGTGGACTCCTCCCGACCCCGCTCAGGGACAAAGCCGGGGGCTACGGGATCCAGGCGCTGGGCGGCATGCTGGTGGAGCAGGTGCACGGGGACTTCCTCAACGTCGTGGGCTTCCCCCTGAACCGCTTCTGCAAGAAGCTGGCCGAGCTCTACTACCCCTCGGGCCGCGAGGACCCCCGCCCGGCTCAGAGCCACCAGGGCCGCGGCGGCCGGGACGAGGACGGGGGAGAACGAACACAGGCTGCGGGCCCAGAGGAGGCCGTTTCCAGCAGGACGGGGCACAGCCCGCCCCCGTTCCCCACGGGCCTGCTGGAACTCGTCGACAGCTTCAAAGCTTCAAAGGTACCTGTGCCAATGTCCTGGGGCAGCCCTAACGAACGAGCCCACACCGGGGCCTTAAACCCCAGGGGTCCACCCTCCCCCGTCCTGGAGCCCAGAGTCTGGGGTCAAGGGTCGCAGGGCCGCCCTCCTTCCGGAGGCTCCCGGGGAGGGTCTCTCCTCTCCATCCTTGATTCAGGGCCGCCTCCTCCAGGAAGCCCTCCTCTCCATCCTTGATTCAGGGCCGCCTCCTCCAGGAAGCCCTCCTCTGCATCCTTTCCTTCATCACGTCTGCAAAGACCCCATTTCCAGACAAGGGCCCGTTCCCAGGTTCCTGGGCTCAAGATTCAGCCTATCATTTCAGGCCACCATAGTGCCCCTAACACTGTCCCCGGCTGATTTTTTCTGCCTTCACTAAATGGCTTGGCACACAGAGCGACTTCTGGGATCAGCAGAGGGTGGGTGCGTCGGCCCGGATTTCCTGGGACGCACCCCCTGGTGTGTGAGGCCCCCGCTGGGGGCCGTGGGGTCTGTGGTTGGTGCCTGACCGGGGTGGGGCCTCCGTGGTTGTTTGAAGGTGAGCTGCACCCCTGTGACCCCAGTGGGTCCCTCACGGGCCTTTCCCGGGTCAGGGAGGCAAGGCGGCAAGTCTGACTGTGCGGCAGCCTTGGGCCCGGTGGCTGGTGGACTCTGGCACTGGGTCACCTGTTTTTCGGAGGGCACACAGGGTCAGCGTCCGTGTCCTCATGCCCTGTGGCCTCCCTGGGGTCACCGGGCGCCCATGGCTGCAGCCTCCGCGGTCCGTCCTGTGAGGTGACCTGTGCCGAGTGGGGACTGGAGGAGAGCCGGGGCGCTGGTGGAGGGCTGAGGCTGCGGGACTGGGGGCCACCCCCTCCCCCGGCCACCTCCCTGTTACCTGCTCGTCAGGAGAGAACCTCTGGTGATTAGGGAAGAAAGGCGGCTGTGGTGTGTTGCAGCTCAAATTCTCTAACTGACCTAAAAAGGACCATGAAAACAGCGCTCCTGCCGTGCACCACGCTGGCCCACCGTTGAGCTACACGGGGGTTCCAGAGGCATCGGCTGTCGTCCGTCATCTGTCTGTCCACATCTATCCGTCCATCCATCCATCTTTCCCATCCAACTCTATCTATCTTCTTCCTATCATCTATCTATCTATTTTTGTCTGTCATCTATCTCTATCGTCTTTTATCATCTGTCTTTACATCTGTCTTCCATGTATGCTTCCATCCATCCATCTTTGCTATCCATCATTTCTGTCTATCATCTATCATCTATCCATCTATCCATCCATCCATCTATCCGTTCATTTACGTATCTATCCATCCATGTATCTATCCATCTCTCTATCCATCTATCTATCTATTCATCTATCCGTCTATCCATCCATCCATCTATCATCTATCTATCCATCCCATCATCATCTATCTATCCATCTGTCTATCTGTCCATCCATCCATCTATCTATCCATCCATCTATCCATCCATCCATCCATCTATCATCTATCTATCCATCTGTCTGTCTGTCCATCCATCCATCTATCCATCCATCCATCCATCCATCATCTATCCATCCATCCATCTATCATCTATCTATCCATCTGTCTATCTGTCCATCCATCCATCCATCCATCCATCCATCCTATCCATCCATCCATCCATCATCCATCCATCCATCTATCCATCCATCCATCCATCCATCCATCTATCCATCTATCTATCCATCCATACATCTATCATCTATCCATCTATCCGTCTATCATCTATCTATCCACCATCTATCCATCCATCTATCTATAATCTATCCATCTATCTATCCATCCAACCATCATCTGTCCATCCATGTATCTATGTATGTATCTATCTATCCATCTATCTATCCATTCATTTATGTATCTATCTATCCATCATGTATCTATCCATCTATCCATCTCCATCTATCTTCCATCCATATCATCTATCTATCCATCTATCTCTATCTGTCATCTATCTATCCATCTGTCTATCTGTCCATCCATCCGTCTATCTATCCATCTATCTATCTATCCATCTATCCATCCATCTATCTATCATCTATCCATTTATCTATCTATGTATCCATCTATCTATCTATCCATCCATCCATCCATTTATCATCTCTATCAATCATGTACCTATTTGTCTATCCATCATCTAATCTATGTGTCATGCATCTTTCCTATCCATCATCTCTGTCTATCATCTGTCT